TGTGTGTGTGGGTGAGAGAGAGAGAGAGAGAGAGAAGGGGGGGGAGGGTAGTGAAAAGGGTGGGACGGGAGAGGGGGTAAGGAGTGACGGGGAGTGGCACTGTTAGGCGGAGATACACAAGGTCACGCAATGGTATATGAGGGGGGAGTGTTATGTGACGCAGTGTACGTGAGCACAGGTCAAGGGTCAGGAGCATCGCACACTGGTGGACATATGGCATTGTTTCCGTGGAATCTGGCGAGTCGTTCAGGCTGGTTGATTTCCTCATTGAATAGTCGTTCAGGCTGGTGGATTCACTAATTGAATATTCTTGATCTAATCTGATTGACTGGCTGCATTGCTTTTGAGTCTTGTCTGGCTTACGTGGATTCTAGACGTCTCATGGTCTCTCAGAGAGCATCGAACCCATGCGCAGGCTGTCATCCAAGTTGCAATTACCGCCTTGTGTCAAATGGCAATTAGCGTCTTCGTGCCACGTGGCGATTAGTGCATGTATGCTATCCGATCCCCGTCCCCCCCCCCCTTTTTCTAAATTTGGGGGGGAGAAAAAGAAACATCTTCTGAGTCTTTGCAAGGAGTCGTGACACATGCTCGATCAGGTTGTTATCTGTTGTAAACAGTACTGAGTATTCTAATCAGTGTTCGATATCGAGGACTTTGCCTTGATGTATCTTGACGTCTTTCACAGCCAGGTCTGGATGCACCTGACCGCAGTTACGTCCACAGATATAAGTTAAAAGTATTTGTGTGTGTCTCATCTCCCTCTGCCCTTCAAACGATGGTCAAGCAATTGTGCCTCCTAATGAATGTAGTATGGCTTCGATTATTATTATTTTTTTCCTTTTTTTTTTTCCCTGCTTTTTTTGGGCCGTATGATTATGGTTGTGGTTCGAAGGTTATGATTTTTTTTGGTCTGTAAATTGCGTCAGTTTGAGAAAAAAAAAAATGCTGAGAAGACGGTGAGTCATCATTCCTAGTATGGGCTCTCGGGACTACACCCTCGTCTTGAATGGATACAAGCTATCTTTCCAGTCCGATCGGATTAAGTCGTGATGATGAGGGTACGTTGTGTTTGGGGGAAGACGGTAAGCCATCATTCCTAATATGGCTGTGTTTCGGACTCGAAAATCGACCGTAGTGTTTCACTTCACGAAGGGCATACATATTTGCTTATTATTGGACGTACTTTGGGTCAGATACATCCAGCACCGGACGTAATTCGGGTCAGATACATCCACCAACGACCGTAAATGCGGTCCGATACATTTAAGATAGAACCAGTTGTGAATACGCCCTGACGTATGATAATTTAGTGAAGATTGCATCTTTTTCTTCAGTATGTGTTACACTCCCGTGTTTGTTTAGTCGTTTTCTGTCTTTTTGTCGTTTTCTAAGCACTCTTCCGCCTCTCTTCCTTTCGGTTTCGTATCTGCCTCTTGTCTTTTGTCTCTCCTATGTTCTCCTCCACCTCCCACCCTTTTCGTCCCTTCTCCGCCTTCCTTCTTCTCATCCCTCTCTCTCTTTTCTTCCTTCCCTTCGTATCATGTTCTCCTGTGCCCCTTGATTGCTTCTTTCTCTCCTTTTAATCCTTTTGTCGGCTTTTCTTTTCCCTTCCCTTCTCTTTCTCCTTCCCTTTCATCGCTGTTATTTCTCGTTTGTCTTCTCCCCCCTCCCCCCACCGTGATCCGACAATTACACGTATCGTCCTCATCTCGATCGTATTGGCTGCAACCTCTGTCAATCCGATTGATTACCTTCCTCCTCCTCCTCATTATCATCATCATCAATCATTTCCGTTGTCGTCGTGATCGTCTATAGTTATTGATATCATCACTTATCTGAGCCTTCAACGACTTTACGTGTGCCGGTGACCACCGCAGTCATTCTGAGACGGGGTTGGTGATGAACGGGTTGCGCTGGATGATGGATGCAATGTCCATTTAGCGGATTTTACTCGATCGATTGATTGGTTGATTGATTGGTTGATTGATCGGTTGGCAAGTTGTTCGACCCTTGGAATCGATCAGTTGTCCTCTTTACCGTTCTATAAATCGGGCGGATGGAAGGGTTCGTGATCGATTGTTATATGTGAGTTGATGTCGATTTCTCGACGTTTTCCTTAATTGATTTGTTGATACTGCGACAGATATGTGGGGGGGGTTGTTATGGCTGTCTTCCTCACCATCGTCGTCCTCAGAGCGTTGGTGTCATCTGTCATGATCTCCTTCTGGTGATCTGATTCCATCAAGATTTGAACTCATGCTTTGTCATGATCGCCTTTCTGGGAGAAGGGTCGAGATAACTTCCACGCCGCGTTGCTTTCAACGTATATAGCCTACCACGTTCCTCTGATTGCATCAGGATGCGAAGTCGTGCTCTGTTCATCCTTTTCCATCGGGATCCTAACTCATGCTCTACTATGGTTGCGCTCCTTCTTCTTGTTGTGGTGGTGGTGGCCTTATCTGCTTACACCCTCCTGTGCGATTCTTTGTTTTGTGTTTTTTCCTTAATTTTTTCGTAAGGGCGACAGCCTTGGGATGTCATCGTTGAGCTGATCGACCCCCGGGAAATTCAGAGTTATTTTATTAAAACTGATTCCCGTTGGGACTTGAACCCACGTCACGTCTGTATTCAACAGATCATGGGTGTACCAACTGAGATAGGCCAGTTGGTCCACTGCTGCAATTCTTAGGGCATCGCCATACCACTTACGGAACCAAAAACAACGCGAGTGCATCATCCCGCAGAAAGTGGCTGTATTCATTCATTAGTTACTAATCATAGCAACGGATTTTTTTTTTTTTTTTAGTCAATTCATACTGGCAAACGTTCAACGAGGCCGGGGACCTGTCTATTGTGTGTTCTACCTACCCTGTTCTATTGAACGGATGTATTTTGCCAACATTTGTGGGGAGATGCATTCACATTGTTTTTGGTTTCGTGCGTGGTGTGGCGAGGCCCTTGTTCTGATGTGCGACGAGCCCGGGTCATGTCTGCGGGACTTGGCTGTGACAGCCCGTTGGTACTTGGCCATCGTCCTTCGGCTACTCTTTACTCAGGATGCCCTGTCCATTTTCCTTAGGAGCCTTTTTTTTTTTTTTTTTTTTTTTTTTTGGACGGGTAGCTTCTAACCTTATCGTGTTCATCTGATTCTATCAGGATCCGAACTCGTGCCCTGTTTTCGAAAGAGTCACATGTGTACACCGGTCAGCCATATGGGCTGGGTAGACCTGCCGTTTCTTTTTGTACGAGTCGCCACATGCTAATTAATCTTCTCCTTATCGTTCCATTTTTGTAAGACGTCCCGAACGACAATCAGCCCTTTTTTTGTGTTTTTTTCCCCCCCTTCCCCCGATGGGCCACGGATCAGATATTTACATGGATGAGTTCCCCAACGCATTAGAGGCAGAAGAAAAAGGTCAATTTTGCTTATCGACTGCTACCTAGTGAGGACGTATTCACACTCGTTCGGACTTTGCGACCGTTCTCTAGACGTAATTGCAGCCATATACGTCGCAGGCTAGCCGTGATTGCGAAGAGGATATTCAGATTTTTGCGACGAGGCTTTTCTGACCCGCCCTGGGACGAGGTCCCACTTGCAAAGAGGATTGAATTGAACGCCTGAATCTGGACGCGTTTGTGGAAAGGTGCACAAAATCGAGATTGAACTGCTTTTCTGCATGTGTGCTTAAAACACGTCTAGATTCGGGCGTTCCATCCAATCCTCTTTGTTAATGGGATCTCGCCCCTGGATGCACCTGACCGGCTAGTGAGGCAGTATGTCTTGGCATATGA